CCCCAATTCCCTGTATTCCAGTATCGATTCGATTCTTTGGATGACAGAGAAGTTGGAGATCACAAAGCGAGTGAGACTTTGTTCTGATCACAAAGGAAAGGACTAAGGAGGGACAAGAGGACTGTGAAAGGGTTTAGAGGTGCCGATGGAGCTGCCATGGCGGATTGGGACTGAAGAAATGTGAAGGCAGTTGTAAATTGCAGGTGGAAGAAGGAAGCAGAGGATGAAGAGGACATGAAAAAAGGCCGACTGCATAGCAGTAGAGGAAACCACATCGGAAGATTAAAGAGGAAGAAGCTAAAAATATTTAAAAAGTAAAGCATGGGAAAGGCATGTGACAAATTTAAAAATTGAAACTAGTGGAAGAAAGGGAGGTGCTAGAACCGAAAAAGGAGAGAATAATGTTGTCATTGAAGGAAAAAAAATGACAAAGGGAGAGAAAGGGATGAATGTTGGATAGGTAGGGTAGTAGGTGTTGACAAGTGTTAGTGGTGTTGAAAAAGAAGGCAGATTGTGCAAAACAACACAACGAAAGAAAGCCAAATTTATTGGCATGAAAGAGAAAAGTAGCAACTTTTTTCATATGTATATTTTTATTGAGAAATAGGTAGACAGAAAACTTTGATACCCACCAAAACATTAGGCACAAATGTGGTGTGCATGAGAACGAAGAGATGAGGAGAAAAACACCCTTCACGTGGGTAACACAGAGAAAAGTGAAAGGCAACAAGGGAGAATAAATAATTTAAGAAAATAAAAGGGAATAAAATAAGAAGTATGGGATCGGTGGTGAGAAAACAATTTTAAAATATAAAGAGAAGTCATTATAGAGAGACTGGCTCACAGAGAAAAAATGGGGAAAACAGCGGAATAGATGAGCAGTGAGAAGACACAGATCACGTGGGAAAAAGACATACTTGGAACGAAAAACAAGTGAAAGAAATTGTGCCAAAAGGAACATCACGTGTGGCAACAGAGGGCAAGCAGGCAGGTGTCCAAAGTGTGCAGTAGAGAAGAGAGCAAGTATTCTGCTCAGAAAAACGGAGAGATACAAAGAGACAGAGATAGGGAAGATATGAGGAGATAGACAGAGAGAGTTGAGCAGAGCTGCATGAGCGATACAGGCAAGCTAAGGAGCCGGGACAGTGCCGGCAATACAAAGAGAGAGTCCATGGAGAGAGTCAGCACATGTGCAAGAGAGCAACAACACCAGTTAAGGGACCAACGATTGTGCAAAGGGACCAACGACAGAGAAGCACGGCAGGACAGAGACAAAGGCCTGGCTGGAGAAGCCTCGGCGAGCGGTGACGAGGCTCGCGGAGGAAGGCGACGGCTCGGTGAGCGGTGCCGAAGCTCACGGAGGAAAGGGATCATGATGATCAAGGGACGTACTGCCCAAAGGAAACAGATCAGGCCATCATGGCCCAGGGGCTTATTGCTCATACAGATGAAAGAGAGGAAATTTAGCAGAAACAAGGTAGTGACAATTTTTATATTTATTTTTATACTGGAAGGGAAAGAAAATGAAGAAAAATGTAGTGATAAAAGAAGCTGCGAAAAAGGCTAAGGTAGAAAGAAAAAAATGTTGATTATAGAGGAGAGGAGAAACAAGAGAATTTACAGTAACATGAAGATACGCCAACGACTCTTAATTTGGCAGAGGATCTTAAGGATTAGCCATTAGGCTCTGATACCATGCTAAAACATGAGAAGTTAGAATATGAAAATATAAGAGAATATGAAAATGAGAGAAGATAATTTTCTGGGTTTTCAACTTGTATCAGTTTTTATTGATTACAACATATTTATACAAGTCCTACAACTACAAACAAGAAAACAAGGTTTCATGAAACAAGGAAACAATGTTCCCATAAAACATGGAAATAATGTTCCCATAAAACAAGGAAACATAGCTTTAGCTAACACTCCCCCTCAAGTTGTGCATAGATGTCATCAATGACCAACTTGCCAAGAGAGAGACTGTCGATATTAATATTTCTGCATCAAGCTTCTTCTTAATAGAATGTCGATCCACTTCAACAAAAACAATATGAAAAGTTATAACTATCACGTAAATCACACGTATTAGATAAATTTAAGTGTTCTATGCTCTTGACAAGAAAAGGTGTGATTTGTTCGTATCTAGGAGCTTAAGCTTAACACTTTTGAGTTTGTGGTTTCTTGGTTCTTTCATCTTAAGATGTGTGTTATGTACAATCCATCATCGTTTATGAATGCGTAAATAATTTCTGACCGTTGATGCATGCAAAACTTACAAGGCATCGTTTCAAATTAATCATTGCTGTTTGTGCAAAAATTCTGGTGGGAGAATATTCGCTTTGTAATTCTTCAACCTTTGATCTTCCTTCTCTCTCTTCCTCGATTCCTATAAAAAAAAAACAAGAGTAAATAAACCACACTCGAGGGGGTTGGCCAAAGGCCCTTCGATGCCTAAGTTAGTTCGATAGAATCTAGGTGAAACAATAGCTAAAAAAGGGTACTGAGATGTATGTATGGTGTGAACCGGGCGGTCGTAGCCATATGTGATGGTCGGAGTCGTGTATGTAAAATATTGAGAGAAGAGACTGGTGTGGCCAACGGCAGTAGTTGACAGAACCTGCCCCAAATTCCTAGGAATTCGGGACGAATCCCGTGAAAGTTTCGACATCATACCGATGAAGAGCCCACATACTAAAGAAAAGAGATTTTCTGCCGAAATTTCAGCAGAGGCTCCCCTGCAATTTGGACATTTCCCAAATTCCTCAACTTGTAAAAACACATTTAACAAGCACCAATTGGCAGCATGCACAAGATAAAATCATGCAGTTCACATAGATGGCCTCCGGCCTAGACCTGGCAATGGGTCGTGTCGTGTCGAGATTTTAAACAGGTCAAAAATGGTCAACACGAACACGACCCGTTTAATAAACGGGTCATGAATTATCAACCTGAACATGACCCGTTTATAAACGGGTTGACACGACCCAACCCATGTAACCCGTCA